GCACCAACAAGCGGAGTTGAACCGAGTTAACATGAGAAATTGAAGAACCAGCTCCCCATCTCATAGTAGGGTTGGTGAATGCAGCATCAAACTGGGCGTACACGGGCTTGTCCAGAATGCCCTCCCCCATAGAGTACACCGCAGCATTCTCGATGAGGCCGGGCTTGAGATCCTTCAAATACTTGAGCCCTTTCATAAAGGCATTTAGTTTGTCGATCAGGACCGAGTCGATATCCCACGAGTGAGCCTCGCTACTCTTACTAGAAGTGCTGCTAGACGAGGCTCCTTGCTCGAGACACCAAGGCTCTGTGAGCCAATGGGCCAGGATAGGATCTTGCGTGGGACCAAGAGCTGGCAAGACCAAGGCTGGTGACCCCGTAGCACCATGGGTGTTGAAGACCAAGCGGGCCGAGATCGGGTCAGCCGTAAGGAGCTGTAGCGGCTCTAGCCCACGGACTGCCCAAGTGAAGCACATCCCAGAGAGGAACTCGACCGAGAGTACCATCCTCAAGGGCTCCGGTATGGGCCCTGGATCGGGCTCCTCCAATGGCGTCAACACCGGCATAGTGCCATCACTACCACTCCAAGAGGCTCTCTTGGGTGAGGGCGGGTGTAACCCCAGCGCTGATGCTCCCTCGTACTCAACCAACAAGTCCTCCAGAAGATGCTGCAGCTCCCCAAGACGACATGAAACCGACAAGGCGTTCTCAAAGGCCGCGATCTCCGGGCTGACCGATTCCGTGCCCAACACCACAACAGCCCGCGTGCCTTGATCCAGCAAAGCAAAGTGAGCTTCTGGTAGACAGGCCGTGATGACTTTAGGAAGCATCTGGACAATCACTGCCGTAAGAGTGCACTCCATCTCCTTAGTGTCCTCCAAATAGGTAAAATGTATCGCCTCTGAGGAGAGGCAAATACCCGATTTCTCCAAAGGCTCGGCCTCGTGGACATCATCATCATCGAAACTGAATCGTCGCTTTCGACCCGTTGACGGATTACCCAATAGAAACCTCATAGCCCCACAGAGATCCACAGCCAAGTCCTTGAGCGGCCCTTTAGGTGGACCAGTACTCGTGAATTCACGGTCAAAGGCGTGAAAGGCCTCTACCGCACCAGCAGCTAATAGCGCCGCTTCCCTCACGCTGCATTCAGCCGTCAAAGCCAGCTTCCTATTGCGGTCCTTAGACTTACGGACCCACTCAGGCAAATGGGTTACCCACAAACGGAGGGTTCGAAGGACCCTAGGAGGCTCCCCTTCATATCGGGGCGCTGGCCGGCACCAGTCTCTGTTGACCTTAATGTCATCCAAGGGGTCGTTGAGGTCACTCCTATGACACGACACTTTCACGTGGATGTCATTCCGCATGTACAGACACCCAGCAATAGAAGCTCGACACACCGCAACGTGCATGCTGTCCTTGGTGGGGCCCATGGCTAACTCCAAACTGCCCATCTTAAGTGGAGGGATACCAGGGATGGGGAAATCAGCAACCACATTTGTGCCCACAAAGAGCATCGACTTGAACTGAGGCGGGTCCAAGAACACTCGAGTGCCCGTATCCACGACCTCAGGGAATCTGTCAATATCATGTACAGCAGCTTCAATGAGATAGTTGATGCACCC